AGCAGTGCCCATAATCCCATAGCACTGCTCCATGATCCCACAGCAGCCCATCCTGGCTGAACACAAAGGATTTGCTCCCAAGTCTTGGTGCTACAGCCTGGCACCAGCTCTGCCTGGACACATCCCTGGTTGTCCCACGACCGTGAAATATTCCATTTGTTATCAATGTTGGTGGGAACCTTTTTTTTTTTTTTGGAGGAAAAATAATTCTGATTTTTCTTTCCTCTCTGCTTCATCCAATTGCATTTTTTTAGTCTTTCATTTTCATCCAGCAGAAGGCATATTTAAGCAATATGCAAGATTTTTGGGACAACTGTGGTGAAGAGAGACTATTCAAGTGTATACAAGGACCTTGGATGGTGGATAAGTCAAATGTTTCTCTTTAGATTTGGGATTCAAAAGTTATGTTTAGAAACTGGAAAAGTTAACTGAAATATTTAATTTGTGGTTATTTTCTTTCTCCTTTGCAGTTCAGTCAGCAAACCTAAAATTAACTTCTCTGCCCAGCTGCAACTGTGGAAAGTCAATTCTTAGCTAGGGCTGTAAGACACCTAAAAGCCTTTAGTCAGCCAGCACCTAGAAACCTACAAAATAAATTACCACTACTGGTCCATTAAAGCAGGACCACCAAAGAGCCCCTATGGCTCCATCTCTATTTTTTGAAGCCATTTCAGATACTCACTGACTTTTCCATTTTCTCCCTTCTGTCTCTTGCCCTCTTCCTCTTCTAGCTGTTTTTTCCTCTTCTCTGCTTTGGCAGCTTGCTCCTTTCTGTCCTTGTTTTCCTGCAGGGAGGTAACAATGGCATGAGAAAGTGGGGTAAAGAAGCTGATGAAGAGAAAGGAGATCTGTAGATGAAGGAAGAGAAATTCTGGCTTTGTCCTGTGCAATAATTAAAAAGGGCATTGGGAATAAGGGCCAAAAATGGTGAGAGAGGACTGGTGGACTGCTGACTTGGCCAGGACTCTGCCACGCCCCAGCTGGAGGTGGCAGTGGTGCTTTGCCTCACACAGCTACCTGCAGTGTGCTCACCTGCCTGACTTTGAGCTGAGGTGAAAGCGGGAGACACTGAAGCCACAGTTTTTTCCACAAGGTGGCTTTTTTACAACATATCCCCCTTCTGAGCCTGTTTGCTCAGGTTGGAGCAACGGGGTGAAGTTTTTAAGCCCCTTTCTCCACAACTTGCACACTTGGCCTAAAAGCATCTTTGTGATTGGCTCTGCAGCTGAAGTTGCAACAAAATCACAAATCCCTGGTGTTTGGGCCGGGCCCAGCAGCACCAGAACCTCCATCCATGAGGATGTAGTGGAGAAGGGGTCAGACACCACTTCAGTGGGAGACCTGATGCCAGGTGCCAAAAGGAGGAGGCAGTAACCCGGTTCCCCCCTGGATTGGTGTGCCCATCCCAGCCCTGTCCATTGGAGCAGCTTCCATCTTCCAGGAAGGGATGCTCAGGATCCTGTGTGCAGGTGCCAACCTTCAGGGCTCGGATGAAGAGGTCTCTGAAGGTCTTCATGATGCTAAATATGTCCTCTAAGGACAGCTTGCTTGGATCTTCACAGAGATAATTTGCAAGTTCTTCTCTCTTCTTTTCAATGGTTTCAAATTCTTCTTCCAGCTTTCTGGAGGCATCAATGCTGTCCTGAAAGACATTAAATGCACACTGTAAAACACCATCCAGAGGACAACGAGTGAAGTGCACCCACAGAGAAGGGATTAGAGCTTAGAGCAGGACTCTGCGTCCCGGCTTTTAACTGCAGCTTTTGGGAAGCAGGTGGGAAGAAATTAAGATTTGCAGATGGTCTTCACTCTTGGCAACTGTGCTGTGCCAATTTACAGGGCAGTCTGGCTTGAGCAAGACATGGAAAGGTCCATGCAAAGCTTAATCCCAAGCAAAGGGCTTCACTCTGGTGATCCACACAGAAGGTGACCATTTTTTCTTACAGTGAGGAGTCACACAGAAGCATGGACAGAGCAGTTGGGGCAGCATCCTAAGAAATGGCCTCCCCAAAAGTATCTAAGTTTGGGGTGCAGCTGGCCACTGCATATTTGGGTTGTACAGCATTGAATCTTATTTCCAAATCTGAGAGCATGTCTTGTGGCAATATTTTCTCCCCTCTCATGAGGCTCCTGAGCTGCAGATGTACCATGCAGCACCTCTCTGTGTGTAATGGGAGAGATGCAAGGCATCTCTGTTACTGACCTGGATGGGTTTCTCATACTGCTGTTTCACATCCTCATTTGATGATAAGACTTTCCGCTGAAGCTCCAGCAACTTCTTCAAATTGGTACCGGACTCGGTGCGTATAATGTCAAGATTAATTCTGAAATCACACAGAACCCTGCCATTAGCTGACACTCCAGCATCTTGAGCTGAGCAAGGAGTGGACAAGTCTGAATTGGTGCTTTGGTCACCCCTTTGTTTCCCACCACTTCCCTGAGCTGAACCCTGTGCTCTGAACTCTCTATACAGACCAAGCTCAGGGAAAACAGCTTCCCCCCACAGTACTTATGGAAAGGCTGCCAGGCCTACCTACAGTTCTGTGTATTGGGTAGATGAGTGCCAAAAAAAGCCCACCCCTTCAAAAGGCTGTTCTCCACCCACCATGCTCAGCATTAGCTCACTTCCCCTGCCTGGAGGGACTTCAGAAATGTCTGGGTAGCTGACCCTCACCAGCTCCTGCCGCCACAAAGGCAGTGCACACTTCAGAAAGGTCTGGGAGGCAGCTTTAACTGACTGCTCTGCAAATTCCAGTCCTAAGTGTTGCCAGCTGTAGTAGAATTATTACATATTAAAGGGCTTTCAACATTCATCAACCAAATCTTTCAGTTTAAACTATGCAAGATGCCATCTTGTTAATCTCTATACCAGCTGTGTGTGTCCTAATTTCTGGTACATTATTGATGTGCATGGGATTTATTTTTGTTTTTAATTCAAAGGAAGTGACACACAATTTTACCCTGCTGCTTTTGAAACATATTCAAGATCCTTTGGCAGTTCCAGTAGGTCCTTGTGGCTGTTTTCTACTTCCTGAAGAGGAAGAGAGAAAGAAGTGTTACTTGGTGTGTGGCAGGAGCCGAGGGGAAGCTGGGGGGAAGACACATGGACAGAAGTGTCCAGGAAGGATGACTGTGCTGTGTTCTGCTACTGCCCCACTGTCTGCAGCTTGCACATTCAGAGAGGAAAGGCGTTTTCCCTGGCTATAAAAACACAGAGGAGTACTGAACCCTTAGAAATACTCATAGTTCAAAGCAAAGCAGAGCTCTTCTTGAGCATAGAGTGAGGCAGGACTGTGGTTTGA